CCGAGAGAGGCTGGGCCTTAAGATGGCCAACGAGGCAGCTGCTAAAAACAGAGCCAAGAAACAAGAAGCCTTGAGAAGAGTCACGGAGAACCTTGCCAGGTGAGCGATCCGTCAAGGTAGCACACTCACAGTGCTTTTACATCCCTCTCTAAGCAGCTTTACAGAGTCAGCCTCTTGCAAAAACCCCAACAGTCTGGGTCCTCGTTTTACCCACCTCGGAAGGCTGAGTCAACCTTGAGCCGGTCAGGATCAAACTCTTGGCAGTAGGCAGAGTCAGCCTGCAATACGGCATTCTAACCGGAAGGAAGGAGGGAGGGAGGGAGGAAGGAAAGGAGGAAAGAAGGAAGGAAGGAAGGAAGGAAGGGCAAAGAAATAGCAATAGCACGTAGACTTATATACCATTTCACAGTGCTTTCCAGCCCTCTGTAAGCAGTTTTACAGAGTCAGCCTCTTGCAAACCCCAACAATCTGGGTCCTCGTTTTATTGACCTAAGAAGGATGGAAGGCTGAGTCAACCTTGAGCTGGTCAGGATCTAACTCCAGGCTTTGGGGCAGAGTCCGCCTGCCCTACTGCATTTCTAACCGCTGTGCCATCACACTATCCTAGCTGCGGGCTGACCAATGCTTAATAGAACTGCTTAGTAGAACCTTTTATCTGAAGTCCTTAATTTTGTTTTTTATTCCCCACCCCCCCCTTCCAGCCTCACACCAAAAGGACTCAGCCCGGCCATGTCTCCCGCCTTGCAACGCCTAGTGAACCGCACTGCTAGCAAGTTCACGGACAAAGCTCTCCGGGCCAGTTACACCCCGTCCCCTGCACATGTGAGAACCCCTGGCTACAAGACCCCTTCCGCTGCCCTGCAAACCCCCACGGTCACCCCGACCTCCAGGACGCTCTCTCAGACCCCTGTGGCTCAGGATCCCGCCTCTATTACGGACAACCTGTTACAGCTGCCCAAAAGACGTAAAGCATCGGACTTTTTTTGACCCTGTCCTCTTGTTGGGGTCAGAGTGGAACTCAGAAATGGCCCAATGTAACCCAAGCTGCCAGAGACACAATGCCCACCGTTGACTGAAAGCACCAACAAGTTGTTTGCTCGGGCTTCAGGATCGTTCCTCCCTTTGCAAGTCCTGGGTGGCCCTAATCCTGCCTAGCCAGTCAGGAGGAGCGGGTGGAAAGTAAAGCTTTGGGGTTAGAAAATTGGCTGAAACTTTTGGATCGATGGCCCAGGAAGGCGGTAACCCGAACTGCTTGCACTGCACCGGCCTTTTGAAGGCAGTTTGCTGATTTGCGTCGGGGTGCTCTCAACCGATTAAAAGACAGGCTTCACCTCAAGACCCAGCAGGAATCTGGATCGTGGTGTGGCTCTGGCACCCATCGTTGGGAGGTGAAAGACTCAGGGAGAGTGACTGAAAGAAAGGGGAGAGAATGAGAGGAAAAAAGGGGGTGGGGAGAGAAAGGGAGAATGAGAAGAGAGAGAAAGAGTGGGGGAGAATGAGAAGAGAGAGAAAGAAAAGGGGAGAACGAGAGGGAGAAAGAGTGGGGAGAGTAAAAGAAAGGGAGAAGGAGAAAGAATGGGCAGGGAGAGAAAGAGGAAGAACAAGAGAGGGAGAGAGAGGAGAAAGAGAGAGGGAGAGAACAAAATAGTTTCCAGGTAGAATTGTTGTGTGTTGCTGCCCTGGCATCTCAGTGGCCTGGTGCAGCTGGCAATGTGTCCATACCTGGTTAGGGTTTGGCAGCAGGTCCTTGGCTTAGAGACTGACCAAAGGCCTGGTATATTTCTCTTCGCCTGGGACCTGAGAAAGAATTCGCTTTCTGGAAAGCAAATGTGCCAGGATTCCTTCATTCTTCTCCTACAGAGATCCTGAGAAGCTTCCTTATGCATTGAAAGCGAGGAATAGCTCTAAATCTTACGGGCTGTAAAACATGGTTTGGAATCCTGTTGGTCAGGTCTAACCTAATCTCACTTTGAGAAGCTTTTTCGGTGGCCTCCTATATGTGGATCCAATCCAGCCTAAACAAAAATTAAGAAAAGATATTTAAAAGCCTGGCCAGATTTCTGCTAAGTCTAAGATAAAGTTTCAAAGCCAAACTGAGAAACGGAAAAGGGGGCAGCCGTCATATGAGGTTGTCTTCAGCGGAAAAAAAGCATATTTCGTACTCAAAACTCATATAGCCCAGCTGGTGAAAAACACAGCCAGCTGGAAATCTTGCAGCTATCATTGCCATTCAACGAGACTCTGTTCCTTTGGCTTTGAATAATTTGCTTATTCTCCTCATGGGCTTGGAGCGTTTTATGCCCACTTCTTAAAAATAAGAAATTGAACTTCTTCGATGGAAAGACCAAAAATAAACACCCAAGTGTAAGGTTGCCTTTTAATGTAACTCCGTTTGGATGGGGGAGACATTCTAGGGGTGAGGAAGACTGACGCTGCGCTGAATAAATTCTACGTTTCAGTTTTCGAGCGGTTGATTTCTGGTGTTTCGCTCTGACGGGCAGAGATCTCCTAGCAAGGCCTGTGAGTTATAGCTAAATATAAGACGGCAGAAGAGAATTGTGAGCCAGAGAGCAAAAGTGGATTTAGTCAGGGGTTGGATAGGTTAATATAAACATTAAAAGGGGGGTCACACAATGTCCCCGCTTGTGTTGTGACCTGCCCAGCAGCTGGCGGAGCCGGTAGCAGAATCGGACAATGAGGAGGTTGTGGAGGAAGCTGGGCCAGTCCTGGAGGCTGAGGACGGCTCGGACGAGGGCTCTGCGTCAGAGGCAGAGATGGGGCCAGGACAGGCTGGCAGTCATCGGCTGCCTTCAGAGTCTGACAGCAGTGAGGCGGGGGAGCAGCTGGAGCCAGTTCCCAGTCTGCGCACGCACAGAGCTGCCAAAAGAAAAGAACAATTAGGAACTAAGAGTCGACGTGGCAGGAAGGCCACAGGTGAACGGTGAATGGCCCCTCCCAAAGAAGTGCAAAAGGAGAGGGGGCTTTTGCAGGGAACAGTTTGTTCATTGCAGCATGGTGAAGATCTGTCTGTGCATCTCAGAGACTCTGTGCCGAGACCTTCCTTGTCAGCGCTGCGTTTGGAAATATTTACTTGGCAGCTCTCCAAGGTAGATAAGGTTTGTGCTCTTAATTGGACCCTTGGAAGACTGTTTGCCAGGCCTTTGGCTGAAGGTGAACGCAAGAAATTTTACCTTCGTTTAATAAAAGGATTTTGCCGGGACAAAGAGTCTGCTTGGTGCTTTTTGGGGGGAGCCTAGAACAGCTTGACTCTTGTTGAAGCAGCACAAATACAACACTCTTTGAGTTAAAAGTACGAAGGACAGATTGCGCACATATCCTTTGTACTTTTAACTCAGATTGTTTTTATTTTCCTGGAAGCAAATCTGTGTGAATTTAGTAGCTTCCCCCGCTCATGGCGCGCCAACTCCAGCCGGTAGGGATTGGGGATAGATCCCTTTCGAACGCCCGCCTGTTCAGGTAGCCCTCGACTTAACAACAGTTCGTTTAGTGACCGTTTGAAGTTACCACAACACTGGAAAAAAATGATTTGTTTGTCACACGACTGTTGCAGCATCCATCAGGTCACGGGATCAACATTCAGACACTTGGCAACTGATAATTACGACATCTGCAATGTCCCGGGGTCATGGGATCCCCTTTTGCAGCCCTCTGACATGCAGAAGTGAATGGGGAAGACGGATTCACTTAACGTCCGTATTACTAACGTAACAACTCCAGCAGTGAAGGTCATAAAATGGACCAAATCTCGCTTAACTGTTGCGTAGCAAGAGAGATTTTGGGCTCAATTGGTGGTTGTAAGTCAAGGACTACCCAGGTAGTCCCAGAATTAAGGTGGTAAGTTGTTGCGGTTGTAAGCCAAAGCCTCATGTGACCAAACCTAATTTTTTTGACATTTTTTTTGCAGCATGCATTAAGCAAAAACCGTTAACGGCGACTTTAAGGCCATTAAATGAACCATTTTCCCCAATGTTTTTTTTTTTGGGGGGGGGGGGTTGCTAGAAACTGGAAGGAATTCTATGCAATTGCTGTTAGGGTTAGGGTTAGGATCAATCTAAACCAATTAGTCTTATGAATGTCTCTCTCGTGAATGGGGCCTTCATAATGGGGTGCATTGTATTTCAATCAGAGTAGAACCGGAAGGGACCTTGGAAGGCCTTCTAGTCCAACCCCCTGCTCAAGCAGGAGACCCTGTAAGTGTTGGGAAACCTTTCCGGCACCCATGTGCTGAAACAGGAGCGCGCCTGCGTGCGTGGGAAAGCACTGGAAACCGAAAGAGCAGCTTCTCGGTGTGCATGAGGGAGGGTCAGAAACTGGAGGAGCGCGGACACATGAAGACCAGCTAGCCAATGCACATGCACATGCTGGAACATAGAAGAGCAACAGGCGATGGCTGGCGTGCCACTTCTGGCACACGTGCCATAAGTTCGCCATCACGGCCCTATACCATTTCAGAGAGTTGGCTGTCCAGTCTCTTCTTAAAAGTCTCCTGTGGTGGAGCACCTACCACACGCCATGTCCAATTCTACTCCGGCCAACTTGCCGCAGGGCAAGAGTTACACTAAATACTGAAGAAATGGTGCAACGAGATCATTAAAGCAAGGATGCCAAAAGAGGGAGGAAACAAAATGTGAATGACGAAAATTAAAATACTTTTTAATTTTTTTTTAAAAAAAAACCACATTAAATTGAATTATTGAATTGTCCTCTGGCGAGTTGGCCGTGGAGAGTTGGCCGTGGAGTGTTGTCCCTTTCCAGTAGTTGAACCACGTCTTCCTGCCTTCTGAATGTATGGCTAAGATTCATGAGTAGTTGCCAGCTACAGCCCAGGGTTTTATCCATTTAAAAAATATTTAATAAAACGGCCTTTCAGCCTGCAATAAGGTGCTGATTCAGAAAGACTTGTTCAGTACGTGGTCTTTAGTTTCAGATCACGTCTTCTGCTTAGCTCTTATCTTTATTCCACACACCGCTCCCTCCAGCCGGTTACCTGGGCGACCTGTTAGTGAGGGTCTTGCAGCTTTGGGGACGAGGGCATCCGTTGAACGTCAAAGGTTGGTTTCGAACTCTTCTGCAATCTTCTCCACTTCTTCATCATGCTTCTCTACTTCAGCGACCTCCTCCACTTCTTCAACCGCTTCCAGCCGAGGAGCCGCGTTGGAGCCGATGGTCTGTTTGGATTCGCTTTTGTGGTTCTTCTCCCGTTCGGATCGGTGCTCTGGCTTTTGCTCGCCCGTGCTCCGCGAACTCTCTCCGTTCTTCCCGACGGACGTGGCCGAAATCGCTCTGATTTTGCCGGGCTGCACCCATATGTGACTTAAAACCTCCTCGATGCGCAACCGTCGGGACACGTCGGGTTGAAGCATGCGATAAATGAGATCCTTGCATTCGATGGTCAGGTTTTTGGACTTGGGGAAATGGACCCTGTGCTCCTTCTGCAACCGTAACATTTTCCGGATGTTCGAGTCGTCGTAAGGCATGGAGCCACAGACCATGATGTAGAGGATAACACCCAGACTCCACATGTCATAAATTTTGGGCTCGTAAGGGATTCCCTGTAAGACCTCCGGGGCGGCGTAAGCAGCAGAACCGCAGAAGGTTTTGCTGTAAATAACTTTGCCGTCTTCGTCCCGAACCAGGCGCTTGGCGAAGCCAAAGTCCGAAAGTTTAATGTGGTAATCTTTGTCCAGGAGAAGATTCTCGCACTTCAAATCCCGATGCACGATGTCGCTGTCGTGGCAGTATTTAATAGCGGCGCCCAGCTGACGGAACATCTTGCGAGCGATGTCTTCGGGCATCTCCCCTTTCAGCTTGATGAATTCTAACAAGTCTCCCTGGACACCGAGCTCCATCACAATGTAGACTTTGCCATTGGAGGTCTCGAAGATCTCGTAGGTTTTGATGATGGAGTGATGGTTGACTTTGGCCAAGATATCTATTTCTCTCGGGAGAAACCGCTCCAAGAAATCGGGAGGCGCCTTCTTCCGGTCAATGATTTTGATAGCTACATCGAACTTCAGCCGTTCCGAGAAGGCAGATTTCACTTTGGCATATGACCCTTCCCCTAAATTCCCGCCCATGATGTAGCCCCTTTTTTTAAGGATAGCAGCATCGTCCATGATGCTGTAGGCTGTGGTTATGAGAAGTTTGGTCACATGGTTGACGTATGCGTTCAGCCATTTATTGTCTGTTCCATGGCATGTGGTCATCAGGAGATTATCCGTTTCCTGCTCTGGAAGCCCTTGGTGGCTACTTGGAATGGAACCTTGGGCATTGTTTAAAGGATGCTGTTTCCATGTGACGTCATAAAGCCGAGAGAAATACTGGGCAAATTGATCTCCATTGCTTGGACCCAGGTAGCTTCGAAGCCAGTGGCAAGAGCGTTCTTGCTCAGCCTCATCGGGACGAGGGGATAGAAGGGGAACTCGTGAGATTTGCAGATGACACCAAGCTGGCAGGAATACTCCAGAATATAGTCTCAAAATCCAGCAGTATCTCAACAGACTTGAACACTGGGCCCTATCTTAACAAAATAAAATTCAGTGTAGACAAAAGTAAGGCTTTACACTGAGGCAAGAAAAACCAAATGCAAAGCTATAGTATAGGTGGTACCTGGATCAATAGTAGTAACGGAGAGGGATCTTGGAGCCCTAGTGAACGATTACTTAAATATGAGTGAGAATTGTCCTGCCAACACAATCCTAGGCTGCATTAACATAAGGAATAGAAGCAAGATCACATGAAAGTGTTAATACCATTTTATGAAACCTTGGTAATAAGGCCACACTTGGAATACTGCATCCAATTTTGGTCACCATGACGTAAAAAAGACGTTGAGACTCTAGAAAGAGTACAGAGAAGAGCAACCAGGATGATTAGGGGACTGGAGGCTAAAACCTGAAGCAACAGTTTCAGGAATTGGGTATGAGCAATGAAAAGGACCTGGGGCTGCACAAAGAAGAAAGGGTCAAGCTATTCTCCAACGCACTGAAGGACGGACAAGAAAGAATGGATGGAAACTAATCAAGGAGAGAAACAACTTAGTCCTAAGGACTAATTGTCCTGACAGAACAATTAACCCGTGGAACAACTTGCCTCCAGAAGTTGTGAATGCTCCAACGCTGGAAGTTTTAAAGAAGAGATTGAACAACCATTTGTCTGAAGTGGTATAGTGTTTCCTGCCTGAGCTCGGGGATGGATTAGATGATCTCCAAGGCCCCTTCAAACTGTTATTCTGTTTAAGCTGAGAGAAATAATGGGAGAATTGGTCTCCCTTGCTGGGAGCCAGATAATCTCCAAGCCAAAGGCAGGAGCACTTTTGTTTGGCCTCATTTGAAGTAAACCATCTTTAAATGTTCAGAGAAATTTTAAAGATCTCATCCCATGCTTTTTATTTTTTTATTTTTTTGCTTGCTTTTAAATTCTGGTGTACTCCAAAGAGAAGGATGCTTGCAATGTTCTGTGTGAAAAATATCTCGATTTCCTTCAAATTGGCTTTTCAAGATTTGCTGTTTAATCGATTGGTTTATAAGGATGGGGAGGGGAATTACCTCCCTGTATTTGCTCAAACTCTGGATTATCTTCTCAAGATTGAATTTGGCTGGCTTGTAAATTCTGAGAAGAACCGATGAACTATGTCCAAGAGAAGCGCTGATCTCCATTGTTTAAGTTATTCCGTAGCAATACACCAGATTTTAAAAATGTCCTCCAATTTGTGACAAACGTTAACAACAGGACAGAATGACAGGTGAGAAGGACCTTGGAGATCGAGTCCAATCCTGTGCTCAACCATTTCATCACTTGTTATATTTAAGCACCTAACCAAGGCTCTCCGCTTTCATTAAAATTGCAAATAAATCATGCCTGGTTTTTGGGGAGGGGTGCGTGGAGAGAGGCAGATTACATGAGTCATGAACCCAGACAAATAAAAGTGTAAAAGGAAATTTTTATGTGTACCGTTGGGACAGCCATTATGGTAAGCTAAAGGTAAAAGTTCCCCTCGCAAATGTGTGCTACTCGTTTCCAACTCTAGGGGGCAGTGCTCATCTCCGTTACAAAGCCGAAGAGCCAGTGCTGTCCAAAGAGGTCTCCATGGTCATGTGGCTGGCAGGACTAAACGTCTCTGTTTTTCTACTTGCATTTTTTTAAAATGTGCTTTCGAACTGCTAGGTTGGCAGAAGCTGGGACAAGTAACGGGAGCTCACTCCGCGATACGGCGCTAGGGATTCAAACAGCCAAACTGCCGACCTTTCTGATCGGCATGCTCAGCGTCTTAGCCACTCAGCCTCCACATTCCCTAACCATTATGGTACATGACCACAAATTCAAGATGATTTTGAAAGAGTAGATTACGGGTCAGCCTCCAATAGCCATCAGCCTTCATGGTTCTGGGCTGTCTCTTTTAAATACCAGATAACACTGGAAGAGAAAGATTAGCTCACGACATGTACAAACTTTCACGCTGCATCTGATCAGTGAGCCTGTTGTACAAGTAGTCCTTGACTTATAACAGTTCATTTAGCGGCCGAAGTTACAACGGCACTGAGAAAGGGGACTTACGACCGTTTCTTGCATGTGTGAGACGTTCTCCCTCAATGCGAATAAACAAACTCCACTTATATTGCATACGCTTAAATTTCTCAGGGCTTGCATCATCTTGTGCAGGCGTTGTGTCTTCACACATTGCCTTTCAGTCTTGCAAAAATCATGTGGTGACACCAACTTCTTCTTCTGAGCCATGATGGCGCAGTGGTTAGAGTGCAGTACTGCAGGCTACTTCTGCTGCCTGCCGGCTGCCTGCAGTTTGGCCGTTCAAATCTGACCAGTCTCAAGGTTGAGTCAGCCTTCCATCATTCTGAGGTTGGTAAAATGAGGACCCAGGTTGTTGGAGGCCATAAAACTGACTCTGTAAACCACTTAGTGAGGGCTGGAAAACACTGTGAAGTGATATATAAGTCGAAGTGCTATTGCCCTTCCATCCATCCATCCATCCATCCATCCATCCATTGTGCACTGGTTAGAAAGCAGCATTGCAGGCTGACTCTGCCCACTGCCAGCCATTCGATCCTGACCAGCTCAAGGTTGATTCAGCCTTCCATCCTTCTGAGGTGGGAAAAATGAGGACCCAGATTGTTGGGGGCAATTATGTTGACTCTGTAAACCGCTTAGAGTGGTCTGTAAAGCACTGTGAAGCGGTGTATAAGTCTAAGGGCTATTGCTATTCTCTTTGCTCAGCCCCAGGTGCAGTGCCTGAATTTCGGTGGCACTGTTCCCAGGCAATGGAGCCACTGTTCGTATTAGTAACATGCTGTTGGGAGGAAGGGGTAACCCAGTGCTTCTCAAAGTGACCCCTTTAAAAGTCTGTGAAGATTCTCAGTCGTCCAGGTCATGGTTGCCCCAAAGGTGATTTTTCAAAAGGCAACTGGCCTTTCTTGTTTTTTTTTTCAAATTGAAAATGTTTCACTTCTCATCCAAGAAGCTTTTTCAGTTCTGACTGTATGGTGGAGGATGGAAGGACTCTCAGAGGGAGTGCTAACAACCAGATGACTGCAAAGAATATAAATCCATCCATTCTCCCCTGTTCAGTCAGAACTGAAGAAGTGTCTGGGATGAGAAGTGAAATGTCTTCAAGGAAAAACAAAGTAAGTCCAGTTGCTTTTTGAATTAGCACTTTTGGGGATTGACCGCTTAAAAACATGTGGACTTCAATTCCCAGAATTCCCTAACTTGGATGCTTTTCCTTATTCTATTTATATTAGCTTGGGTATCTCTCTGGCTTCCCATTTCTATTGAATTCTGAGATAAGACCTCATAATAGTGGTCGGGAGTATTAGATATATTTGCTACCTGGACTTATGTATTAAAAAGGCAGGATAAAAATATAATAACGATCATGAGAGAAGTAGCACAGGTAGCCAGGCAGATGGTGACTGATGAGGGATGGGAGGAGGGACGAGGAAGAGGAGGAGGAGGAGGAAGAGGGAATGGAAGAGGAGGAGAAGGACTAAGAAGATGAGGAGGAGAAAGAGGAGGATGAAGAGAAGGAAGACGAGAGGAATTAAGAAGAGAAGGAGAAGGACTAAGGAGAAAGAGAAGGATTAAGAAAAGGAGAAAGAGGACGAGGAGATGGAGGAGGAAAAGGACTAAGAAGAGGAGGAGGAGGAAGAGGAAGAGAAGATGGAGAAGAAGGACTAAGAAGAGGAGGAAAAAGAGAATGAAGAAGAGGAGAAGGACTAAGATGAGGAGAAAGAGGAGGATGAAGAGAAGGAAGATGAGAACGACTAAGAAGAGGAGAAAGAGGAGAAGGAAGAAGAGAAGGAGGACTAAGAGGAGCAGGAATTGTATAATGGCCTGATAATGGGAGTAAAAAATGAGTAGGGTGCCAAGCATTTTCAGAAACCAGATTGAGAAATTAAAAGGAAAACCCAGATGATTGTGCTACTGTGTTGTTGCTAAGAAAACCAAAAATAAATCTCCAGTATTCAAGCTGAACTCAAGGGAGACTTTACCATTTTATATGTTCATTTTAAAACAATTACGCAGAGGCCATTTACATACCTTGGGGCTTTCTTTGTTTGGTTTTTGACAGAAGCTGCTAAATGAAAAGTGTAAAGAAATCCACCCCGTCTTCCCCCAAAAGCACAAGACGTTGGCTGATTCTATAAACAGACGGGTCTTCAGCCTCTTAGATGTGATAAGAGTAGATTTTATGGTAGCATAAACACCAGTTTATTTAGAGAGACCACGGTTCAAGATCGTTCGCATCCCCCCCCTTCCAATCTTTCATTTGGAGAAGATTTAACCATCGGGGGGGGGGGACTCATTCTGATTTTGTGCTAATAAGAAATATAGAAATATGGACCTGTTAGAGGCCCTGGATCTTCCAAAATAAGGTGAAAGGGCTTCACACTTCCTGTTTGCCTCATCCAACCCTTTGTCTCTTGGCAAAACCTAGAACCCAGCTTTTTCAAAAGAAATCATTGAATTTGGCAGTCTTGGAAACCAATTTTTGGGGGAGTGGGGAGATAACTTGAGAGGACGCCTTCCTTTCAGAGGGAAGTCCTTTGCATCTCCTCCGAGAGATTCTCTAGATCCTCGTGCCGTATTTCTTTTTCCACTTGCTCGTTATCCGAAGGCTGCGGGCCGCTCTCCTTCCCAAAGAGGGATCGGATCTGGCTGTGCTGCTGCGAACATTCCCCCGGTTTGACCAGTGCGGAGTCTGAAACGGCTTTGGGTTCCTGCATCCAGTTGTGCATCAAAACCTCCTCGATGCAGAGCCGTCGAGTCACGTCGGGCTGAAGCATATGGTAGATGAGGTCCTTGCATTCCACCGAGAGGATTTTGGACCGGGGGAAATGGACTCTGTGTTCCTTCTGAAGCTTGAGCATCTTTTTAATGTTGGACTCGTCATAAG